TTAGGTGTACGTGGCTGGCGCCTTAGCCAGTTGAGCTATAGGCGCCGAGCCTTGAGATAGAGTCTTAAGCTGTCGCCCTTGGTAGAGTGCTATGGTGTCATAGCTCACAGCAAGCTCCAACTCAGGCTCAAGAGATCCTTTTGCCTTAGTTTTTTCTATTTTTAGTAGAGACGAGGTTTCACTTTTGCTCAGACTGGTCTTGAACGCATAAGCTCAAGCAGTCCACCCACCTCAGCCTCCCAGAGTCCTAGGATTATAGGCGTGAGCCACCACGCCTGGCTGTACTCTTGGCATTTTTTTCTCTGCAGTAGTATTTCTCTAGAGAGGTTGTATTATGTAAGTTTGTCACTTCCTGGTAAAGTAGTGTTTGTTAAGAGGGCCTCTTTCTAACCTTGAGGGGCCTTTTTGGTTTGTTATTCTAGTAGTTGAAGAACGAATCTATGTACTTCCTGTCCTTTCATAATTTTGAGGGGGTTATTTGTTACTGTCTCTCGAGTGCAAAAAGTATACATTTCCTTTAGTCTTTTGTAGTGATTTGAGTCAGTCTTTTACCACCACATGGTTTGGAGAGAAAAGCAGGAAGATAGAAATGGCAGGACTCTGTCCCTTTCCTGAGCTCTTGACTTGACACTCTGAAGAGTCTGTGTGCCACATGGTTATGTGGAGGATATGCTGTCCTTAGTCATTGCCTTTGGGGAAAATAGGGCCTTGAGCACTCCCCTACCTACAAATGAATGATGGTGACCCAAACTGGGGAGTAGAATGCTGTGGCTGCTAGAGCATGGACCGCTGGCCCTACCTCTTAAGGGCCTTCCAACTTAAGAGATACCCTGAGTCTGCTTGCCAAAGAAGCAGACTTGTGGAGCCAGAGTTGGCTGACAGCCACTGTGACTTCTGCCCCAGGCTGCAAGGATGGTTGATTAAGATTGAGGTGTCACCAATTAAGGTGACATCATTTATATCCTTCCTCTGATACTCTTCCTTTCAGGCCAACCAGGATCTCCCAACCCGAAGACAGCAGGCAGCCCAATAATGTGATCAGACAGCCTTTGGGTCCTGATGGGTCACAAGGCTTCAAACAGCGCAGATAAATGCAGGCAAGAAAGGATGCTGCCGCTGCCACCATCACCGCCTCCTGGGTCGTCCGCCACGGGTTGCACTGCCGTGGCAGACAGCTGGACTTGAGCAGAGGGAACGACCTGACTTACTTGCACTGTGATCCCCCTTGCTCCGCCCACTGTGACCTTGAACCCCATGCACTGTGACCTCCCCCCTTCCCCCCCTTCCCACTGTGATTGGCATGTTGACAAGGGCTGTCCCAAGTCAATGGAAAGGGAAAGGGTGGGGGTTAGGGGAGGGTTGGGGGGACCCACCAAGGACTCAGAGTAGAGAGTCAGGCAGTGCCACTTGGCCACTTGGGGTAAAGCTAGTGCCAGCAATAACAGTTTATCATGCTCATTAATTTGGGATTTCAAAACACAAATGAGAACTCCTGCCTACCCACCCCCAAGTGCATGTCTTCATCACTTAAAAAGTAAGTTCCATTTGAAAATATCCTTTCTTTTTTTTTTTTTCCTATTTTTGTTTGTTTATACAAATATCTGATTTGCAAGAAAAAGCGCATGGGAGGGGTTTTAGCAGTTTAATGAATTTTTAATTGAGAAAAGGTAGTTTGGTAGTCTACTTAAAAATGTTTCTAGGACATTCACTAGAAACATTAACCAATAGGATTTTGATGAACTTAGCTTCTGTATTCCTACTGCCGCCCAGAAAAGGGGCAGGGCTCTGTAGCCCCCAGGACAGATGAGCACCCCATGCCTATACCTCCCTCCCCCAGCTAAGTCCCAGGACATCTTGGCCTTGCCTGGAGACTGGGCTGGCTCTGTAGGCTCAGAGAGCCTGGGGAGGGTGCCAACCCCACCTCTAGTATTTTGGGACATAGGGAAAGTGTACAGACTTCCCCTTCCCGTACCCCTCAGGGTGGTTCCCTACCAGCCAGGCTTGCTAATTCTAGAAGAAAACAGGGAGTATCAGGGAGTGAGACTGCACTCCTGGATTTAGAAGTAAAGGATGTGAGATTGTTCAGTATTTTGCTGTCAGTACAGGAAGAGCAGGGGAGAGTCTGGCTCCAGGACTCTGAGCCTTCCTTAAGTAGTCAGAAGGTAGCTAGATCCTCCCACTCCAGCAAGGCTTGAACTCTTAACTGTCTGTGGTGCTCCATCTCCATTGATGGCCCCAGCTCAGTAACTTTACTTGGTACATTTCCTGTGTGAAATCAGTACCTTGGGAGCAGACCATTTTGAATAAAATTGGGAAAAGAAAAGCTTTGCATTGCAAAGATTGATAACAGACTCGTTCCCCATAGACCTAGGCTATCCTTCACCCCTTTTTCCAGAGCAAGGGCCTGGAATGAAGGTAGTTCTTACTCTGTCCCTGGAGATTTGCTTTGGCTCCTGGAGTGGAAGAGGCAACTGCCTAGAGCAGCGCTCAAGCTCTCCCGTCCCTTCTGTTGCACTGCACCTTATCCCTCAGCCAGCCAGATGGCCACCCCATTCCTGACCAGCAGATAAGTCTTAGAGTAGTTGGTATGATTTTGTGATTAGGCAGCACATGGTGGCCAAAGTGGCGAGCTCAGTTTCACTGACTGGCTCACTCTACTTTCGGTTCACCCAGCTCTCAGCCTTGTGGGAGCTGTGGGAATGGTAGGCCAGACCAGCAAGCCATGTCCCACTATAATTTCCCCTTGGGAGGAAGGGTCAGCTGCCAGGTGAATCAGTGACTAGTCCATGGCACAGCATTATAGCTGTATGAAGCCAGGAATTTTCCTAAAGCAAAGCTGGAACAAGGCTTCAATAAGTAAGAGGGAGAATTATCTCCAGGGGTGAGCAAGGAAGAAAGTTGGCTGCTATCTTTATAGTTCCACTGCCCTGACCAGGTGTCCACATTCTAAATGTATAGTGTCCATCCCTCATGTAATAGTGGTTTCTGGCCCAACATGAGACTGTCGTTTCAATTGGAGAAGGATGCAGAGGTAGTCCCGGTGGGAAGTCCAGGAGTGCTCATTGCTCAGCCATTGGGACCACCTGTTCTTACCCCACCCCCTCCAGTGGGAGCCGCATGAAGGCCGGCTGGTGGGTGTCTGGATTGAGGATGTGGCAGGGATTGGTGCTGCCACCTCCCTCCTGCCAAAGATGGGGCTCTGCCCACTGTGTGCCTGTCACCACCCACCAGCAGTTATGCCCTGGCTTCCAGATAGAGAGGTGGCAAGCAAAATTTTAAAAAGAAAACAGGAAACTTTATTGTGTTGGGGGGAGGCGGGAGGGAAGATGAGAAAACGGTTTGGATTTTGTGTGGGGTTTTTTTTTAGTAGTTGTCTGTAACTTTCCTTAAGTGCTTTTGTTTTTCCTTTTCTTTTTTAAAGTAAGTTGCAGGCTTTGGCTTGGAAAACCCCAGGGGAATGAGGGGCAAAAACCTGAGGCTGCTGCCCCTTTATCTGCCTTCATGGTACTGCCCCCTTCCCCCAGCTCCTCCCTGACCCCAGGAGCCAGGCCTCAGACCTTCCAGCTAACCGCTTCCCATGAGCCACTACTCTGATGTCAGCCTATAACCAAAGGAGCTGGGGGTACAGGCCTGGTGACCAACCCTTCTCAGCCCACTCAATCAGGGTGCTCCCCACCTGCAGGCAGGAGGCAACACCCTATCTGCTACCATCAGCCCCTTCCAGAGCCCACCTGCCCCGCCCAGCCCTGCCCTGCCCAGCCATACCCTGCTCTGCCCCATCTGGGGGTGCTCTGCTCAGGGATGGGCCGGCAGGGCTGCACCCAGCCTCCCTGGTAAGCAGAGACTCAAGAAACCTCTGGGGTCCTGTTTTCTTGTGTGATCCCAGGGGTGCACACGGGCCCTGTGGGTGTCTGAACAGAAGGGCAAGGGAGGGAGGGCCGTACCCCTGCAGTCTTGCTCTGCTGCTGTAGCAGGCAGCTGCTCACCCCCACCACACCCTGCACCACGGGCTCCTGAGTCGGCAGATTAAGCATTTTATAAATTGTATTTTAAATACATGTTTTAAACTTGTCAGATGCTTGTCCTCATTTTAGTCCCTGGCTTCCTATCTCTTCCTGTGGCGTGTGTTTAACCCTGTGAGCTATCAGTCCCAGGGAGAGACTCTTTGGTAGAGAAATAGTCTGGGTGGTATGTGGGTTGGGGAGAAGGACCCACTCCTTTAGGCAATAAAGAAAGGAGACGCCTGAGTCTTGGGGCTTTGTCACAGTAGAGCATGGCTGAGGCTACCTCAGGTCTTCCCACACGGCTTGATGCTTTCAGGGGCTGTATCTTTCCCTCATGTCCACTGCTCCCTTAGAGCAAGGTGGGAGAGAGAATTTCTGCCTTTTTCAGCTTCTAGTCCAAAGGGGGAGATATTCATATGAGGAGAGGGCCAGCTCTGTTCTTTGAAAGTGTTCAGAAACTTTGTACACAGAGGCACCTGTAGCAGGAGCCCCATCTCTGGGCAGGGCTTCGAAGTGCATCTTGCCTGGGGATGGGAAGGCACTGGAGCCTTGTACTCTGAGAGCCAAGTGGTAGGGTGAAGACCTGGGGGCCGGCCTTGGCACCAGGCATAGAGGTTCAAGTTCTTGGTGTTTATTGGCTTATCAGGCCACAAAAGCAAACTCCAGCCATAACCCCTGCCTGGTGACCATCTGTCTACAGGCCTTGAACAGCTGCCTAGAGACAGGACTCCAGACGGTCAGTGAGTTCGAGCCGGCACAGAGCTGAGCCACTTTCTGCTATCAGAGCTGTGTTCCCTGGGGAGAGGAGTAGGCAAAAGGATGAGAGATATTTGGCCCTCTCCCTACGGTCTTGCCAAGACATAAGCCATTCCTGCATGCCCAGGTGGGAAATAATAGAGCCAGTACTTGGGCTCACTGGCCTGATTCCAAGTCCAGGGCTCCTTTCCCCTTGGGGGTTATGGGAGGGGTCTGCTACAGAGAGAACACTCCTCTCTGCCCAGGTTAAGCCAGCTACTCCTAATATGGAGCCAGACTAGGACAAAGGCGCTCCCTGTAGAGAAAAGGGAGGATAGTGCCAGCCCCCAAAAAAGTACACTCTCATGCCCCTGAGTCCTGAGCACCGGAAGGGATGAGAACTCTGACTTTGGTGAAACAATCTAATATACAAGCCCTCAACAAAGGTTAGTTTCTTTCCCATCCCTCCTTTCTCCTCACTGGAGTAAGTAGTCACCCAGCCATCATCTCTTGGAAAGATGAGTTGCCCAGGCACTAGGCCAGAGGCCTCTGAAGGAAGGAGGTGGAAGGGCCTGGGCTGGGGCCCTTGCTGTCTGGACACCCACCTGCCTTCTTGAGATCCTGACGGGAAGAAGAGGCTACCGATGTCAGGACCCAGGTCGGTGGGGGCAGTCTGCTCTAGCATGTAGTGGTTGCCCTGCTTCCGTCGGACGGACTTCTTATCCAACCGTGGGCACAGCGGGATGCAGGGTACCTGGACATAGGGGCTCTGCAGGCTGGCAGCTGGTGGAAAAGGAGGCAGGAGGGGGAATACTCCAGAGCATGCCTGGCCTTGGGAGGCAGGCAGATGCAGATGAAATCTTGGCTGTGCCCCATAATGGGCTGGGTGGGTTTGGGCAAGCTCCACTTAACCTCTCCCTGATGCTGTAAGCTGGAGAAAATAGTGGTTCCCACCTCACAGAGGTGCTGGCAAAGGTTATAAGGGTCATACATGCAAAGCACTGAGCTAAGCGCTGAGCACTTAGTCAGGGCTGGTAACAGTTTCGAAAGGAGCAGATGTTTTTGTGATGGATCCTGGCAGAGTCTGATAGGCTCACTCTAGAACAGTGATTTTCAACGGGTTTTCTGCAGCACACTGGTGTGCTGTGAAGAATTTTAAAGATCATTAACTAATGGGGTGGTCCCTGTGGCTCAAAAGAGTAGGGTGCCGGCCCCATATACCGGAAGTGGTGGGTTCAAACCTGGCCCCGGTCCAAAAAAAAAAAAAAATCATTAATTAAATTTTTTTCAAAAGAAGTTCAAAGCACAAGAAGTATTTTCCTTTTTTACTCTTTTTTTTTTAGGGGGGGATCAACATAATCTAAGTGTGCCACAGAAGATTATAGTATAGGTTCAAATGTTCCATGAGATTAAAAAATGTCAAAAAACACTGCTTTAGAAAGACTGCAAAGCTCCTGTCCCATCACTTGGCACACAGTCGGAGCCTAATAAATGGTACTTGGGAGGCAGGCTTTCCCAGTGAAAAGAACATAGTTTGGGGGGTCAGACCTTGGTATAAACTTCCCTTTCTAACACACTAGTTGGGGACAACTGGGCAAGTTGCTTAAATTTCATCAGTTTCAGTTTTCTCATCTGTAAAATGGGATAAAAACATGATCATGAAGATTAAATTATAGTTCATCTGCCCAGGGCCTAGTGACTGACCCCAGAGGGTACTCAAGCTGGGTGCTCTGTATAGATGCTCCCTTCTCAATCCTAGTTCTTAGGACCAACCTGTACGGGAGTCCGTTGTTAGAGGGTGCAGTGTGGAATGGTGATGGTCAGCCCATTCACTGCTGCACACAGTTGAGCCCAAGTGGGAAACCAAGCCTCTCAGCTCCCTGGGTCTGGGTGTATAGACAACCAGGTAGGCAGGAGAGCAGAGTCCCCAGCCCAGTCCACCTTGCCCGGGGCCCTCACCATAGTCGTGCTCCTTTAGTCGGCTCAGGATCCTGAGGACCCTTCGTTCTGGGACTTCAGAGCTCTCTGCCTGCTGGGGATTGTAGGGAAGCTTCTTCCTCAACCGCAGCTGGCCTATGGCTGATGCCATCTCTTGGGCCTTGTAGGAACCTTCCTTCAGCTTCTTTCGATAGTAGCTGGGGAGGGAGTACCCATCCAGCTCAGCCTAGCTGTTTAATTCACCCCACTTCTATGCCTCTGTTCTGTCTGTCCAGCTCAGAAGCAGGAATACAAGCCCGGGAGTCAGGAAACCTGGATTCTAGTCCCAGCTCTGCCTTTAATTTTCCGTGACCATAAGCAACTCACTGCCCTGGTTTGGGCCTCAGTCTCCCTATGTAAAATGGGAAGGGAGGTGTTATCTCTTCCCTGTAGCTGCATGTCTGGAAGTCACCTGACTTCTCTGCGCTTCAGGTTTCCCTGGTAAAACGGATCAAATAGTCCACATGCTATATAGGATTAAATAACAAGGCCCATCAGGTACTCAACATTGTGTCTGGCACACACAAAGAACTTGGTACGTGTTACATATGATTTTATCACTGATATTTTTACTTAGATGTACAAGTGCTTTGTAAATCAGGTGTGCCCTTAACTCCTGCTCATCTTCCAGATTTCAGCTTAGGGAACATCTCCAGAAATCCTCTGGCCTCCCCTCCCTGCCAGATCAGCTAGGCTTCTGCTGCCAGCCCCCTGACAACCTGCACCTACCCCATCCTAGCCTACAACTCACTTGATTTCCTTAACTCATTACTCCTTGCCTTTTCCCACACCAGACGGCAGCACCTTTCATTCAGCAAATGCTCATTAAGGTTCACTGTGTGCTGACCACTCTTCTAAGTGCCTGGGAAAGAGCAGTGAAGGAGACACCCACACAGGGTCCCTGTATGGTAATCTCAGCCCCACCTCCTTGCTCCAGCCACTGCCACAAGCAACCACTTCCACACAGGCTTCAACCAGTTCTGTACCAGGCAACCTTTTAGGTCTTATCTCAGACCTGAGGTTCTTGCTTGCTGCCCTGGGGCTTCTCTGACACATGTGCAACCCAGAAGTGCAGAGGAGTTAAATACTCATGAGGCCACCCTTCACCAAACGTGTCAGTAGATGAGGTACAGAGGCATTTCCCTTTCTTCCCCTGACAGTTTTGTTTTATCCCACTGTGCATTTGAAGAAGCCACCACAGAAGAGCCTTGAAGCTTGACTCCCCTGGAATTACCTCCTAAATCAACTATCTGGACACAAACCTAATGGGAGAGTCAGACCAGCACAGTGGCTCACCCTTAGTAATCCTAGCACTATGGGAGGTGGAGGCGGGAGGAGTTCAGAGACCAGTTTCAGCAAGAGCAAGACCCTGTATCTACTCAAATCTACTAAAAATAGAAAAACTAGCTGGACGTGGTGGTGGGTGCCCATAGTCCCAGCTACTTGGGAGGCTGAGGCAAGAGGATCTCTTTGAGCCTGAGAGTTTGAAGTTGCTGTGAGCTATGATGACACCACAGCATTCAGGGCAACAGAGTGAGACTCTTTAAAAAAAAAAAAAAAGCCCAGCACAGTGGCTCATCCTGTAATCCTAGCACTCTGGGAGGCTGAGGCAGGTGGACTGACTGAGTTGAGGAATTCAAGACCAGCCCGAGCAAGAGTAAGACTCCATATCTGCTAAAAATAGAAAAACTAGCTGGGTGCTGTGCTGGTCACTTGTAGTCCTAGCTACTTGGGAGGCTAAGGCAAGAGGATTGCTTGAGCCTAAGAGCGTGGGGTTGCTGTAAACTACAATGACACCATAGCACTCTATCCAGGGTGACAGAATAAGACTGTCTCACAAAAAAAGAAGCTCCAAACAAATATTGATTTTTAGTTAATACATACACATATGTTTTCTGAGGTATTGAGATGGAAATGACTATCATTAACTTTGCAATGAGCTAAAGAATTGAAGGATAGGGCTTGGTACCTGTAGCTCAGCAGCTAGGGTGCCGACCACATACACCGGGGCTGCCAGGTTCGAACCCGGCTTGGACCTGCCAAACAACAGTGACAATTACAACAACAAAAAGAGCTGGGTGTTGTGGTGGGCACCTGTAGTCCCAGCTACTTGGGAGGCTGAGGCAAGAGAATCACTTATGCCCAAGAGCTGGAGGTTGCTGTGAGCTATGACGCCACAAAAAAAGAATTGAAGGGCTCGGCGCCTATAGCTCAACCGGCTGAGGCGCCAGCCACGTACACCTAAGGTGGCGGGTTCGAATCCCCAGCCCGGACCCGCCAAACAACAATGACGGCTGCAACCAAAAAAAAATGGCCGGGCGTTGTGGCGGGCGCCTGTGGTCCCAGCTACTTGGGAGGCGGAGGCGGGAGACTCGCTTGAGCCCAGGAGTTGGAGGTTGCTGTGAGCTGTGATGCCACGGCACTCTACCCAGGGGGACGGCTTGAGGCTCTGTCTCAAAAAAAAAAAAAAAAAAAAAAAGAATTGAAGGATAGAGAAATGGATAGATATAAGAGAAATAGTAAAATGGTAATGGTGGAATCTATATGATAGGTATGTAAACTATTTTAACTTTGCTATATGTTCGAAATTTTCATTAAATATGGGGAAAATAAGTAATAAAATTAAAAAGTGATAAGGGGGAAATGGTTCTTATTTGGGGGAAAAGTATCTTGTGGTTTGGGTGGGGTGTGCAGCGGCTTCAGGGTTATTAGAAATGATCTTTATTTTCAGACAGAGTCTCACTCTGTCACCCTGGGTAGAATATTGTGGCATCATAGCTCATAGCAACCTCAAACTCTTGGGCTTGAGCAATCCTCTTGCCTCAGCCTCCTAAGTGGCTGGGACTACAGGCTCTGGCCAAGATGCCAGCTATTTTTAGAGACGGGGTCTCGCTCTTGTTCAGGCTAGTCTCTTAACTCCTGAGCTCAAACGATTTACCTACCTCAGCCTCCCAGAGTGCTAGGATTACAGGTTTGAGCCACCACGCCCAGCCTTAGAAATGACCCATTTTTAAAGTGGGTATTGGGGCTTGGCACCCGTAGCTCAACTGTTAAGGCGCTGACCACGTACAATGAAGCTGGCAGGTTCCAACCAACACAGCCCGGGCCTGCTAAAAACAACAATAATAAAAAAACGACAATGAAGAAAAATAGCTGGGCATTGTGGTGGGCACCTGTAGTCCCAGCTACTTGAGAGACTGAGGCAAGAGAATTGCTTAAGCCCAAGAGTTTGAGGTTGCTGTGAGCTGTGATGCTATGGCATGCTACAGAGAGCAACATAGTGAGAGTCTGGCTCAAAAAAAAATTAATAATAAAGTGGATAATGGGTACTGGGAATTTGTTTTATGGCTTTTTTAAGTGATATATTTATGTTGTATATGTTTTGAGTGAATTACAAATACTGGCAGGAGAAAGATCTCTTGTCCTTGGAGTTGCCGAGTTGATGTTACTGGAGCAGGCTGTAATCATTCCCCTTCTTCCCACCCCATGAAGAAAAAGCCTGCTCTGTGGTAGGAAAAAATGAGCCCAGCTTATTGAATGACAGGGCAAGCGTCTGTGTGATTAAGTGGAGAGGAGACCCCAGTAGCCTGAGACACTGGTCCCTGCAGATTCGATTTTGTGAGTTACCCTTGTATCACCTCTCATTTACATTGAAGAATCAAGGAAATAAGCATCCATTTTACAGATGAAGAAACCGAGGCTTGAAAGAAGGTGACTTGCCCAAGGTTGCTGTACTAGTAAGAAGCACAGACAGAGCTCCAAATTCTTTCTTCCTCCCACCAGATCCTGGGGTTTTCTCTCATACAGTTACAAAAACTGTGCACAGCAGTTGACAAAGGGCCTTTGCATTCTGATCTCATTTGACCCTCACAACCACCTCTGCTAGAAGCTAGCTTTTTTGGTTTTTGGGTTTTTTTGAGACAGAGTCTTAACTCTGTTGTCCTGGGTAGAATACCATGGCATCTTAGATCACAGCAACCTCAAACTCTTGGGCTCAAGCGATCCTCCTGCCTCAGCCTCCCAAGTAGCTGGGACTACTACACACACCTGCCACAATGCCTGGCTAGTTTTTCTAGTTTTAGTAGAGACAGGGTCTCATTTTTGCTAAGGCTGGTCTCAAACTCCTGAGCTCAAGCAATCCACCCGCCTCAGCCTCCCAGAGTGCTAGGATTAGAGCCACCTTGCCCAGCCCTGAAGCTAGTAATTATTATTATTGTTGTTGTTATTTATTTATTTTTTTTTTTTCCTTGAGACAGAGCCTCAAGCTGTCCCCCTGGGTAGAATGCCGTGGCACTACAGCTCACAGCAACCTCCAACTCCTGGGCTCAAGCGAGTCTCCTGCCTCCGCCTCCCAGGTAGCTGGGACCACAGGCGCCCGCCACAACACCTGGCCATTTCTTGATTGCAGCCGTCACTATTGTTTGGCGGGTCCGGGCTGGGGATTCGAACCCGCCACCTTAGGTGTACGTGGCTGGCACCCTAGCCGGTTGAGCCACAGGCGCCGAGCCTGTTGTTGTTATTTATAACAGAGTCTCAAGCTGTTGTCCTGGGTAGAGTGCCATGGCGTCACAGCTCACAGCAACCTCAAACTCTTGGGCTTGAGTGATTCTCTTGCCTCAGCCTCCCAAGTAGCTGGGACTATAGGAGCCCACCACAACGCCCAGCTATTTTTTTGTTGCAATTGTTGTTTTAGCTGGTCTGGGCCAGGTTTGAACCCACCAGCCTCAGTGCACATGGCTGGCACCGTACCCACTGAGTACAGGTGCTGCCCCTGAAGCTAGTAATTATTGAGGAGCAAGTATTAAAATATGTGTATTTCAAAGACAAGAAATGGAGGCTCGGGGCTCCTTCAAGGCATCATGGCCTGAAACTGCTGGTTGGAGATCAGTGGGCTAGTCTGCCGTCACCTTTGGCTCTAGAACTGAAAAGTTCACGTTCTTTTCGCCTGTGGCCGTCTCTTCCTTAGATGAACCACTGTGCCCTAGAGACAGGCACAGCTTTGTGTCTTCTGGCCCCAGGTGGGGTCTGTAAGATTTCCCTTCTGTGATTGCTCCCTGAGTCCCATAGGAAAGAATTCCTCTTTTATACTAGGAGGGTATGACTAAGGGGCTACTGATTGCCACCCCTAAGCCTGTGGGGACAGCCTAGCTGAGCTCAAAGCCAATGCACCGAGATGCACAGATGGCAAGATAAAGCCTTACTGGTATTATCTGGACTCCTGGATCTAGCCATTCCTGAGACCCTAAACAGTTATTTAAGCCAATGCCTCTGCTTAAGCCATTTTTATTTGAGTTTCTTCCACTTGTTTTATTTATTTATTTAAAGACAGTCTCTGTTAATGTGGCTAGAGTGCAATGGCATCGTCAAAGCTCACAGCAACCTCAAACTCCTGGGGCTCAAACAACCCTCCTGCCATAGCCTCCTGAGTAGCTGGGACTACAGGAGCCCACCACAATGCCCGCCTGATTTTTCTGTTTTTAGTAAAGATGGGGTCTCACTCTTACTCAGGCTGGTCTCAAACTCCTGAGCTCAAGTGATCCTCCAGCCTTGGCCGCGCAGAGGGCTGGGATTCCAGGTGTGAGCCATTGCACCCCACCAGGTTTCTTTCACTTGTGATAAAGCATCTTAACTACCAAAAGTTCCCAAAGTGCCACCTCAGTGTCCACAACCATCCACCCCCAACAACCAGCCCCACTCACTTTGTAATTTCCTCTAAGGCTGCCTCTGGTAAAGCCAGCATCTCCACCAGCAGGGACAGGATCTCAAAGAGTAGAGTGTGGGGGTTTGGGAGAGCCATGTCCATCAGGGCATTCTGTTCTGGGGACATGGGATGGTGGCTGCCATTACCATTTGGTGGTCCTAAATGCCCCCTCACCAGCCTCTGGGCCCCTCCTCCAGCTTTGACTGCCCTGGGCTCATCCCCACTCACCCACAGAACAGAAGAAGCGCCTGGTGTCTGTCATCACATCCAAGAAGTCTTTGAAGTCCACGTGACCATCTCCTGTGGAGGCCAGAGGAGTTATCAGGTGGGCAAGGGCCTTCCTGAGCAGGTCCAGGCACCGCAGCCCAGGCCTGGTTACTAGCAATTACTCACTGGGTCTAATTATAAAAATGATGCATATTCAATGCAGAAAATGGCACATGAAGTAAAAGATGAAAATTAAAATCTCCTGGAGGATCTGCATGTCACCTGTCTCCAGCCTCACCTTGTGCCAAGCTTGCCCGGCACCTGCTTTCCTACCTGAGGCCACGTTCTTCCCTGCTCAAGCCCTTGCACATGCTGCTTCCTCTTTCTAGAATTCTCTCCAGTAGTCTCCAACTCTTTGACTTAGTAAACATCCTATACGTGCTTCCATTTGACCATCCCTTCCTCAGAGATGCAGACCAGACCAGCTCAGATGCCCCACCAAACACTCATAAAATCCCGTAAGATCTGGAATTGAGGCTCGGCGCCTATAGCTCAACCGGCCAAGCACCGGCCACGTACACCTAAGGTGGCGGGTTCGAATCCCCAGCCCGGACCCGCCAAACAACAATGATGGCTGCAACCCAAGAAAAAATAGCCGGGTGTTGTGGCGGGCGCCTGTAGTCCCAGCTACTTGGGAGGCGGAGGCAGGAGACTCGCTTGAGCCCAGGAGTTGGAGGTTGCTGTGAGCTGTAATGC